AAAAAATATGTAAACTCTTCAGAAATAATTCTCTTTTAATCATATCATGTATACCAGATATAATACAGTTTATTAAAAAAAGAAAGTTATTCTGTGTAAAATCAGGAACACATAGAATTGTAATGATGCCAAAATAACTTGTAGAAGGAAACCATTTCTTCTGTAGCACAGACACTGGAACAACGCTCACAAGTGAATCAAGCACATGTTGCAACGCACCGATCTGAGCTGTGCTGAGCACAAAAGCTTACTATCATCCCAACAAACACTTCCCTCTTTTATTTGTTTTACCAAGCCAGAAAATTAGCATCTTGCGCCTTGGTCTGGCTCATTGACATATGTGCCATGTCATTCCAGCACCAATACTGATATGATTTGCCTCACTCACAATTTGCTTGTCTTATACACAAGTTTAGGCTATGCTATTCTAGCCCTCTTAGACCTCTGAGGTAATTCTCCAGCCCAAAAAAAGGTTTAAGTATATATTACAGTGAACAGATTCCAAATCATGTTATTTATTTTATTGGATAATAACTACAAATTACAAAAACATAAGGAATATCTGCTAAAACCTGACTGGATGTTTTGTTTTTTTGTTTTTTTCTTACATTTTACTGTAATTTCACTGGATCTGAATGTCAGATTTGGCCACTTACAAACCAGGATACACATTGCACTTTCTCTTGTAGTGTTGCCATCTTCATTAAAGTTCAGAGTCCATAAGCACTTTTAACATCTACCTGAAAAAACAAATGAAAGCAAATTAAAAAAAAAGAACAAATTATATATAAATTAAAACTTTAATATTTCTTGAATCTGCAAATAACTGTATTGTTGCATCTTAACTTTAACAGATGCAATAAACTGTAAAAGATGTACAGATAATTTATGGCCATTCTGTATATGCAATGGTGCAAAATTTTGGTGCCTCTCAATGGATTTAATAATTCATAAATTTCATATGTTCTTTGTTTAATGAAGTTCTACAAAACTATGATGCTGAAATTATTTAAACAATTATTGCATGACATCCAATGTTTTAGAGAGAGGTTACTTAAAGTTTAAAATTTTATCGCCCTAAGATTACTATTAGCCAAGCAGGTAGATTAGGCAAAAAGAGTTTAAATTTTAAGAAAACTTTATTTCCTAATGTGATAATTTTGCACTTAAATTCAAAAAGTCTAAGTACTCATCAGAACAATAACCTTGAAAATATTTATAGAAAAGCTACATGATGACAGTGTAAAAAGTAACTAAAACCGAGAGTCCCTTCAACCTGAAGTGTGCCAGTAGTTTGAAAAAAGGTATGAAACCTTCAATTTTTAGATGATTCTTTGAAGACCAGAAAGACTCTGGTTTTCACACTTTTGCGATCATCAGACAATTGTCTGATGGTCACTGAAATGTGAAAACCAGAGTCACTGAATATATTAGCTCTATCACTAATATTGAGTGCTTTCCACTAAGTATTGTGCATATAAAATAATATATATATATATATATATATATATATATAATATAAAACCACATGCAAGGCAATAAAGCCACTAAAAACAAGGGCTTAGAGAATGTGAAAGAATAAGAAAAAAGAGAAATATTATTAAGGAGCAAAAACAGTAGAAGAGTAATCAGGAAGACAGTAGATTATGATTGACATTACATTTAAATTTTTTAAAGATTAAAGTTGGCTGGAATACATGAAACCAGAAGAGAGTTCCAAAAGTGAGAAGTGCAAGACATGAAACTGTTCACATAGAAATTATGGTTACATCTAGCCAATTCAACTGTGAATTGATAAGATCTTGCTGCCAATATAATACTGTACTTAAATTCATAAAGTCTAGGTACCATAGCGAAGAGTTCATCTGAACAGTCACCATGAAAGAATTTATAGAAAAGGCACAGGGAAGCAACATTATGGTGGTGGGAAAGTGACTGAAACCAAGATGTCAAGTCCAGAACAATAATATTGCTGATTCTTCTTTGGATTTTATCAAGAATTTCTAAATATATAGCAGGAGTACTGGATCATATGTTGTAGCAATATTCTAATCATGGATGAATGGTAAAATTATAAATATGTAAGGTAGATTCAGTACAGAAAAAAAATGTCAAGCATGACACAATGAACCAACTTTCTTAGCACCAGACCAAGCAATGAATTCAATATAAAATTTCCACTTCATGTCAGCCAAGAATGTAAACCTGAGAAGGCCCAATGAGTCACTGTCATAGAAGTTTATATTGGTTACACTGATGGGAGGTAGGAAGGACTCTTTCAGGTGATTGATAGAGAGGTGCTTTGTTTTGGTGAGATTAAAGCTAGCCAGCCATTCCTTGCTTCAGTTAACAACAGACTGTAGGTCATTCTTGAGACCAGCTGCCAATTTAATCTTATCAAACTGATCAGAGTTACTACTGAGAGGGAACTTAATAGTTGTATCACCAGCATAAATATCAAGTTGAGAACTGTCTGAGGTATTATGTATATTTATTAATA